TTTATAATAAATAAAAATCCAACAGAACATTCCAAATTGATAAATAAACATAAAAATAATAAACAAAATAAATAACACATGTGCTCATCATTACAAAGGACAGTGATACAATTTCAAAAAAAACAAGAATCCAGTAAATCCGAACAAATTTTATTCCATTTTTTGACAGGTCTCGACTTTGAGGTTATGTTGGCCTTTAAAAAACTTTTCGAATTTAAATTTTTTAAAAGTTTTATAAATTTGTATCATTGAACAATGTGGTAGGTCTATTCCACGCACAATGTTGCTATTGATTTCGTATTTTCTATTTACTCAACTTTTTTATATTTTTTCTGTAGTCCTGATGAGCTGTGTTCACAGTGAAAATGCATTCGATGAAATAAAGTAATAATTGCTGATTTTTAACAACTTTCTCAAATCTTTTGGACCCAAGGCCACAATATAAACAATTTTATTTGACAAGAAATTTTGATGAATTTTTTAAAAACTCATCCGCCATATTGGATCCGCCATTTTGGATTTTTTAAATATGACCTTAGATTCGTAATCAGCGACCCCAAAAACTCCTAGATACCAAGTTTTATTACAATCAAACAATTTTTTAAAAATTCATCCGCCATATTGGATCCGCCATTTTGAATTTATTAAATCTGACCTCAGATTCGTAATCAGCGACCCCAAAAACCCCTAGGTACCAAATTGTAGAAAAATCCAACAGTGTGAAAAATTTGTGCATTTAGAAACAATTTTATGGGTGAAAATAGGTACGCAGGAGGGTTAATTAGTTAGTAAATTAGTAAGTTAGTTAGTAAATTAGTTATTAAACTTAGTAAGTTAGAAAATTAGTTACCTTTATAATAGTTCTATTAATTTCTGGAATTTTTAGGGTTTCCAAAACTGCAAGTTGCAATGTATGAACTGCACATCTTACCATTGCAAAATAATTCTCATCTTTATCAAAAAATGAATCTGCTAGTTCGTCTGTGTCGTTTCTACTTTCTTCAATTGTCATACCTTCAGCAGAAGTTTCGTCAATATCCATATCTTCAGCAGAGCTATCGTTAGTTTTCATTTTGTAAATTAATAATGTTGTTCATTTTTTTTGCAGTTTCACGCAATCGAGTTTTTGAGGATACAGAGTCAGTTGATGAATCAGATGATTAATGTAAAGTGCAAATTAATAAAGTTATAAATTTCTCATTAACATTATTCTTTAACTATATATATCCCTCCTTTCCGATTTTTTTTTAAAATAAATTAAAGAAAATATATAGATTTGATTTATCACATAATATTTTTTAACAAAACTTTTATTTTTTTAACGAAAAAAATTTTAATGATCTAGATTTACGAATTATTTTTATGGGCTGGTAATTACCAGAACTGTTGCTGGGATGTTGCTGAACAAGTTTCTAAAGAAAAAAAATTCAAAGTTTTTCAAAAATAAATAAAAAAATGTTTATAAATTCTATTTATCAATTACAAATTTTAATTTAATTTAATTTAATTTTAATTTCTTGAAAGAATTAAATTATTTTGAAAAATTTTAATTAAATTCTTTTTAACAATTCAATTTATTTTTAAAATAATTTATAAAAATTCAATTATTTTAAATATCTACTATTTCAATAAAATTTGAGAAAAGAATTCAATTAGGTATTTAAAAAGAAATATTATTAAAAAATTCGTCTGAAGAATTCAATTATTTTCAACAGTAATAAATTTCTTCGCAAAAAATTTAATTGTGGTTAAAAGTTTAAAAAAATGATCGTCAAAATTTCAATTATCTTTATAAATATTAAAATTTTTCTCCAAAATTCAATTATTTTCAAAAATTTTAATGAAATTCTTTTTAACAAATTCAATTTTTTTTTTAAAAAGAAGAAGAAAAGAAATGAATTATTTAAAATTTTTTTTGGTAAAATTCTAAGCAAACCTTTTATTATTTTTATAAATAACAAATATTTCACAGCAATTCAATTATTTACAAATTTTTTATAAACTTCTTTGCAATAATTCCATTATTATTTTTAAAAATATTCAATTTATTTTTACGGAGATTCAATTATTTTTATAAACATTAAAGAACTTTTTAAAAAATTATTATTATTAAAAATAATAAATGTATGGAAGATATTTAGTTAAAAACACGAAAAAAATTAAATTTTGTAAAAGTTACAAATTATTGCAAAAAATTCAATTATTTTCAAGAGTACTAAAATTCTTCTTAGGGATTCAATTATTTTCACAAATAATAAAACTCATTTGCTAAATTTCAATTATTTTTAATACAGTTTTAATCAAATTTCTCGAAAAATGTAATTATTTTTAAAAATTCTATTAAAATTCATTGATAGAATTCAATTATTTGAAAATTTGTTAATAACGACTCTTTATGCGAATTTAATTTTAAGAAACATTCAATTATTCAATATATTATTTATGTGTATTTTATTTGTATTTCAGTAATTGAATTCAAGTAGAATTTTCTAATTATAATTGATTGAAATATGAATTTAAGTTAAAAATGTAGATAATTGAATTTTGATCTTTGAATGTTTGAAAAAGTTCGACTGAATTTTTTTTAAGTTATTTGACATTTTTATTTTCTAATTTTTGATTGAAGAATTTCCGAATAATCGATAAAATTTTGTAAAATTGAATTGTAAACAAAAGGATTCGAAAATGTTGAAAGAAATGTTTTAAAGATTATTAGTAATAATTAATTTAAAGAAGAATTTTAGTCAAAAATTTTGGAAAACAATAATTGAATTAAAATGATAAAAGTCATTTTGAATAAGTTACATTATATTCTTATAATATAAAATGATTTGATCGATCGGTCATTTTCATGTTTTATAACAATTTTTTATAAGATGTTTAATTTCAAAAAGGTTTGAATAAAAAATTTTGTTAAATATAAATGTAGTTTTACAAACCTGGAAAAATTCCGTTTTTTATCCTGGAAAATCTGAAAAAGCCAGAGAATTTAAAATGAGCAAAAGTGTGGCAACTCTGATAATTCCAGAACCAAAATTTAAAAAATTAACTTATTAAGTAGGGTAGAGTGGGGTGAAAAAGCCATGGTGTAAAAAAGCCATTTGAGTTTTATTTAAAAACTATTAAGCCGATTTATCAGCTGTTTAGAATATAAATACTATTAGGTAATACGCAACTTTTGAATCTAGTTTGAATGTTGTACCTAGATTAATATTGTTTTTATTGTAATTTTAATTTTTTGTTGCTTTTTTGAAAACATTTTGGTGAACTTTTCAAACATATTACAATCTGATTAAGTGAACGAATAATAAAAGTAAATGTTTGTACATAAGGAGAAAAGTATACCGAAAACGTATACAATGTTAATTTTTGGAAATTGAACTGAATTAACAATTTATTTTTGCTCTTCTAATAACTCGTCTTGGGTGTAAAAAATCCAGGGCAAAAAATCCATTGAATATTTTGTGAAATTCACTTGTTTTCTATTTAAACTAACCTTCTTATTTTACAAAATTTCTCGTGTTTATTTAATAAAATAAATTAAACACGACGAAAAAGTAGTTCAAAGTGCATTAAAAAAATAAACAATGAATAAACGGTTGCAACGAAATATGTTATCTGTGGTGAAACTTAAAGAGAACTTCTAAAAAAGGTACGAAAAATTGGCAGTGCAAATCGAAAACAGGTAAACTTAATATAATTTTCAATTTTGCTTGCTAAAAACTCTTTCATATTTATTAAAATATTTTTCAAATAAGACTATTTGTCATATAAATAAAGGAAAACTATAAAAATACCTAAATTGATAACATGTTTTGCTAAAATCGTAGAATGGCTTTTTCACCCCACCAGGTGGTGCAAAAAAGCCACTTGCAGTGCTTTCGTAAAACTCTTATAACTTAGTCCTTTCATGAGATAAAAAATATTTCCGTCAAGAATTTTCAAGCTTAATAACTAAACTTTCAATAACAATTGGAAATTTGAGAAAAAAATTTTAAGTACAGATTTTATAGCATCAAAAGTAAAAATGTGTCTTTTTTACCCCACTTTACCCTACATAATTAATTATTGTTTCATTTTCATAATTATTAATATTCTTCGGAAAAAATTAATTACTTTTATAAATAGTAAATTTTCTAAAATTTTAAAATATCCATTGGAAACAATTAAATTATTTTTATAAGTAGGTAGTAAAATTCTTTGTAAAAATTTAATTATTTTAAAATAGAATTTTATTAAAATCCCTTGAATGAATTACTTAAATTATTTTAAGAGAATTATAATAAAATTCTGAGAAGAATTTTATTATTTTTTATAGAATTGTATTAAAGTTTAATAATTAAATGTTTAATTTCAATTATTAAGAAACATGGTTATTTTAAAACCTTGAAAAAAATGGTTCATAAAAATTCAATTACTTTTAAAATTTGAAATTAAATAATTAAATAAACTCCATTATTTAAAAAGTAAGTTGCGAAAACTCTCAATTTTCTTAATTTCCCTAACAAAAATTTTGTTTCCCTTATATTTTATTGACTTTAATGCCAAAAATTTTGTTTTCCAGACATTTCCCTGATTTTACTGGCAAAAATTTTGTTTCTTGACATTTCCCTGACATGTGGCCACCCTGAAATAAAATAAATAAAAAAAAAGAAAAAATAAATATAATATAATATATTTTTTTTGTGAAAGAAATAGACTTTGTGTGTGTGTGACTTTGTTGTAAATTACACAAAGTCACACACGCAAAGTCTATTTCTTTTTTCTTTTTAACACACACAATGAAGATATATTTCAAGTTTTATCATACATTTATTTTAATAACTGTATAATTACTCCAACTGGAGTGCAACTATAATTACAAAACTATAATCACAATCAATTTACAAATAATATTAAAATTGTAAAATCAATTACAAACAATTGAATAGATTTATTTATCGGCAATGTCATCGAGAACGGTAGTATCCATTCTTTCATCTGACATTAATTCTGTTTGGGTATCTGAACTAGTTGCAGAATTATTCCTCTCTAAATCGATACTACACTCTGATGCTTCTTTGTCACTTAATGTTTTTTGTTTTTTTGTTTTTTTACTTTTAATATTTTTAGTAATGAAATTCGAATTCGTTCTGACTACCAAAATGTCGTCTAACTTGTCAGGTTTTCTCTCAGGGTAGAGAAAATAAATCTCATCCCTGAGAACAATCTTTCGACACTGACTTGTGTCATAGGAGCCGCGTGTACAACATTCGCCAATTTATATAACTCTGGAGAACTTTTTTTGTGACATTCCCAATATTGCAGGAGATCCAAGTCTCCATCTAAAGAAGGGATTTTTTCGAAATCATCCAAAAGTTTGCTAATACTCGAAACATTGGAAAACCTTTTCTGGCTTTCTGCGTCCCTTTTTCGTCGTTCCTGATCTACAATATTGGTTACATTGTTGTCAACCAATAGCTGAAAAACATAATATTTATTTTCCAAAATATGTATAATAAATAGACATGATAAATTTAATTTTTTGGAAATACAATTATTTTAAAAAAATTTTAATTCCTTTTTTTCAAATATAATTATTTCAGAATTTGTAAATTAAATTATTTAAAACTAAAAAACTTTTTGATAAACAAAAATTAAAAAACTTAACCTTATTTATTTTTTGAAAAAATTTAAATTCAAAAAAATTTCAATGAAAGACACTTTAAAAAAAAATATTTCTAAAAATTTCAACTACAATTCTTCAAAAATTTAATTTATTTTTGTTAAATTTTTGAACAAAATTAACTGCGAAAATTCAATTCTTTATGTAAATAAGCAACCAATTCATAAAATAAATAATAATTTTCAAAAATGGTAAATGTATCTCTTTATTAATTTTTTTTTTTGAAAAATAAAATATTAATTGAAATATAATTTTAATATTATTATAATAATTATATATTCAGAAACAAGGAATTCAGGGATTTTTATTAAAAGTACTGAAAAAAGTTAAATTTTTAGAATTCATGATAAAATTCTGAATTTTTGTGTCTTATAAAATTACAATGAATTCTAATACAAAACCTTTAATTTTTCAATATCTGACAAAAATTTCATTTTAAATTACCTAAATCTTCAACAACTATCATTAAATAAATTCTTAATGAATGATTTTACTTAAATATTTTAAAATTAATTCTATTTTAAAAGAGTTGCGTTTACAATTATAATTAAATGAACTTTAAACAGGTTTCAATTTGAAATTTTATGAAATTTTAATGTTTAATGAATTTAATTAGAAATTTAAATGAACTTAGATTTTTGAAAAATTTTAGTAATTCAAAATCTTCTAAAATTAGTTAAAGTCTGTCAATATATATTTAATCAATTATTAAAAATAATGGATTTATAGAAGAATTTTAGTTTAAAACAATAAAAAAATTCAATTTTTAAAATGTTACAAATGATTGTAGAAATTCAATAATTTTCAAAAGTTTTACAATACTTATCACAAATTTCAATTATGTTCAAAATGTGCAAAAAAAATCTCGAGAATATCCCAATTATTATCCTTATAAATAAAAAAATTCTTCTTTAAAATTTAATTATTTTCAAAAATTTTAATAGAATCATTGTCGAAATTTCATTTTTTTCAATCATTTTCTTCATTTTAATGATTTTCAATATCTATTTTGATATAATTACTAAAAAGAATTCAATTATTTAAAAACAATTTTAATAAAATTGTACGCAAACATTTAATTATTTTCAAAAACTAATAATAATAAAACTCATCGCAGAATTGCTATTATTTTTAATACAATTTTAATCAAATTCCTAGAAAAATGGAACTATTATTAAAAATGTTATTAAAATTTGTCAAAAAAATTCAATTAATTTGAAAATTTGTAATAAAATCCTTTATAAGAATTAAATTTTATGAAACATTTAATTGTTTAATAAATAATTTACTTTTGTATTTAAATAATCGAATTCTCGTAAAATTTTCTAATAAAAATTGATTTGAAAATGAATTTTTGTTTAAAATTTAAATAATAATAGAATATGAAAATAATTTTGAAGAAGTTACATACAGTAACAATATTCTTATAATACAAAATAATAATTTTAACACTCGATCCTTTTTAATTATTATAAAACAACATGAAAATATAGATCACCACGAGTCTTCGACTCGGAGCAATCGATATTTTCATGTTTCATAACAAAATTTTTAAAGTTGTTTAATTACAAAAAGTTTTGAATTTAAAAATTTGGATATCTTAATTTATATGGAAAAATAATAATAATTAAATATTTAAAATATTTAAAAAAGGAATTCTTATTTTCGAATAATTTTACAATGAAAGATATTCGTAAATAAATTTAACAGAAAATTTTTTTCAATCAATTTTTTTCCTTAATTTTTTAAAAATTCAAAAAATTTCAGTTTCATTTTAAAATAAATTTTCTAATTGACAAATATAATTTATAAACATTTTTTTTATTTTTAAGAAACTCTGAATTTTATTAAAACAATTGAAATTAAGATATAGAATTGATGCAATTGTTTCCTTATAAAAATTGAGAATTTTCCTACCTCTTCTTCTACTCCAGTAGCTTCTTTTCTCACGCCTTCAGTGGACGGAGTCTTATTTTTTTCATTTGATTCGATGTGATTCCAAATTTGTATCAAAACTTCCTTCGCCTTTTTACATTCTGGTTCCCCCAGGAAAGTCAGATATCGCGGGTCTAAAAACATTGAGGCAAGTAGAGCCTCATTTTTTAGAAGTTCTTCCTCTCTTTCCTTAATTTGTTTTGTGAGATTTTCCGCAAGTTTGTTTTTCACTTGCTCGGTGAGAATTTTGCATTCGTGCCAGATTCCGAAGAAGTCTCCTGGAAAAAGATTTTCATTCTGCATCTTGAGTGTTGCTTTTTTGCAGGGTAGTAAAGCTGTAAGGCAATCCTCGATATATTTCCACTCCATCTCGGTCATCTTCAGTTTCAGTTTTTCTTTGCAAAATTTTCGGCATACGGACTTCGCCGAGAGAAGAGACGACAACATATCTGCCGTAGAATTCCATCTTGTTGGGACATCTAAAGTTGGCTTCTTTACTCCGTACTTTGCGAGAAGACTTGTGTTACTTCTCAAAGTTTTGACGACACTTCTGGCCTAAAATAATAAATTTGTTATCCACATTGAATAAAAAACTTTTGAAGAATTTTAATTGTAAATTTTTAATTTTAAGAATAATTGAATAATCGAAAATTTTAACTAATAATCTACAAGTTTATATTTAAAGATACAAATCAATGAAAATTAACTTCTAAAATTTTTATTAAAATATTTTTAAAAAAAGTAATTCTTAGATTTGTTTTCTATTTAAAATGAAGTTATTTTGAATATTTTCAATTACTTATTTTCGATTTTCAAATAAATGCAGAAAATTATAACAATAAATTTTTAAAAATAATTTAAAAATTTTTGACCACGAATTCTAATACAAAACCTTCAACATTTTCCTGTTTCTGACAGTAATATTTCTTTTTAAATAACTTCATTCTTGAATAACTATTTTAAAATTATTACTTAGAAATTATTTAACGAATAATTTTACTTCAATATTTTAATATTAATTGACTTTTAAAGGAATTGAGTATTAAATTTTCAAAATTAGATGAACTTGAAAATGCTTTAATTTGAAATTCTATAAAATTTTAATTTCTAATGAATTTAATTAGAAATTTTAATAACAACTTTTGAAAAATTGTAATAATTCAAAATCTTTTAAAATAAGTTAAATTTGTTAATCTATATTTAATTAATTAATTATTAAAAATCAGGGATTTATAGAAGAAGTTTAGTTAATAATACTAAAAAATTCAATTTTGAAGAAGTTACAACTGATTTCAGAAATTAAATTATTTTCAAAAGTAATAAAATTCTTATCATAATATTCAATTATGTTCAAAAATTACAAAAAACTCTACAAAATGACAATTATTATCTTTATAAATAAATTTTTTTTTCAAAATTTAGTTATTTTAAAATATTTTAATAAAATTCTTGTCAAAATTTCAATTATCTTCCAAATTTTTCCTCATTTCAATGATTTTTAATATGTAATATTTTAATAAAATTACCCAAAAGAATTCAATTATTTTCATCAATAATAAAATTCTTTTTTTCATATAGTAAAACTCAACGCAGAATTTCAATCAAAATTTCAATTATTTTTAATAAAATTTTAATCGAATTCCTCGATAAATGTAATTAATGTTATTAAAATTTTTATTCAATTTCGTGAAATGACTTCAATCATTTTACAATTTGTTGATAAAATTCTTTATAAAAAACCAATTTTAAGGAACATTTAATTGTTCAATAAATTATTTTTTGCATTTAAATAATTAAATTCTAGTAGAGTTTGTAATAAAAACTGTTACAACAATTAATTTCAGTTAAAATTTTAGATATGTAATGATCTTAATTTTTGCCAAAGGATTTGCTCGCCGGATGGAGTCCGGGTACTTAGAATAGTTAAATTCTTTCAATTTAAATATTATTAATTTTCACTTCAAAATATAAAATATTACAATAATTTAGCAAGAGAATTAGTAACGTCAATGAGGTTAGGTAAAGTCAGTAAAAAAACATAATTTAAACCTTCGTAAGAAAGTATATTTTAACAAAATAAAAATAATAGTGAATTAACAAAAGATTAACAAATAACGAAATGAAGTAAAAAATAAACGTAGTAAAAATATGATAACAATAAAATATAAAATATAAAAATAAAAATAAAAGCTCGATATAATACAAAATTTGATTAAGAAGGAAAACTAATAAACGCTAAAGAAAATAAAGAAAATAATTGGTCCGCCGTTACTGGCCCAAAGCCACGCCAACGATGTTGTTAGTCTCCGTTCGCTCTGTAATGAGTTATGAAATATGTTTGTAAAAAGAATAATAAATAATTATGAATAGATGACGTTAAATACTCGCGAGGGGTAGTTCCTAGTATTAACCCCCTAGATAACGTTAGGGACGAAGAAACAAGTTTAGTGCACACAAGACAGTTTAATATCTTAAACTGGAAACAAGATATCAAATTACATTTGATATTCATATCCGGCCCGTTACTAGTGTGAGTATTATGATAACTCAGGTTGCATCTCCACCAAGTAGCCCCTTGGTGTGGAGAATTCACCTGGTGCGTCATCTTCGTCGAGAGAGTTGCCCCTCAACTCGACGAGGATGGTTCAACCATAATTAAAAATGTATTTGAGTGAGTGTAAGTGTAAATGTATTCTAGAGCTAGAACCAACACGGTTGCCCCCATAGAAGGTTCACTGCATTAGAGTGTAGTGTGAGTAATGTGAGTTAAGTGTGTAGTAAAGTAGTGCATGTAGTGAGTGCATTGGTTCCACACGGTAGCCCCCATAGAGCAACCACTGCACTCACGGTGAGAGAGAAAGGAAGCGTGGCGAAGGGTGTTACCCTGGTCATCGGTTGCCCCCGAGCCCCAGAGTACAACTCCTTCTGGGATTTTACACAGAGCTGGTGGTAGCGGTTGCCCCCACATTTCACCTGTCCTGTGCAAAAGGTAAAAGGGTTAAGGGTGAGAGAGTGTAGAAGTGAGCTGCTGTTGGTCTGCCTCGGAGCAAGCCCCGAGCCCGACCGGCGGCGAACTGATGAATTTCTCACTGCAACCAAGTATTATAGATCGCCGGGTTTGACAGGTATCTCGTACGGAGAGAGAGCGACCCACGTGCTTGCGCGACAAAGTATGCGCGTTCGGTACTCTCCTCTCAGCCAGCGAGCTGAGAGCTCTGTAGTATATATAGATATACTAAAGACATGCTATACGAAATGATTTTATTTTACGTTTAGAAATTAAAACTGTTTCGTTACATCCCCCCTACTTAAAAAGCGAATTTTAATGAGCGTCTTGGGGATGATAAATACAACGAGAAAATAAAAAATAAAATAAAATTTAACTAGGTATCACTTACAAAATTTTTCTCACATGTCGAATATGTCCATTGGAGAAATCCAAACGAAGGTTCCACTTAAAACCATTATCCCTCAGACGATAACGTTTGATACCAATTGGAACTTGAATCCATGGTCCTCCAGGGAGCTTAGCGATCGTAAATGGAAAATGAGCGACATCGTGCCAAAGTGGTAAAGGATTGTCCTTGGAGTTTTCCACAGGTACGGAATTGTTATTAATGTCGACTTCTTCAATAGTTTCCTTGAGACTATTAAAAAGTTCTTCGTAAGAACTCGGACACTCGTTCGATTTTACAGGTTTCAAGTTGAGCGGTTTGTTTTGCTAGGAGTCTTGCTGCGTCCATCGCGAATGACTTTCAGGAACTACGAGGGTATTTCTTAGAAACACGAATATTTTTCCTAGGAGGTCTTTGACTTTTTGATAATAAGAGGGGTAAGAAATATTATTGGCTGGAAATGTCGTCAATAAATTTCTTCAGGTCTTTTAAATGCACATGTCGAAAATTTTTCCCCTGTTCATTAACAAGATCAAAAATTACTAGAGAAATTTTTCTTTTAACAGTAAATGGTCCACTAAATTTTTCCAACAATTTTGCATTTTTTTTTATCTATTTTTTTTAGATAAATGAAAATTTCTTTTGAGCACTTTTTCTCCGACAATAGGTTTCCAATCTCGCTTACGTAGGTTATAATACTTTTGTTGAGTATTAAAATTTTTAGCAAGATTGATTCTAACAAGTTCCAAGGCATTTTGTAATTTTTCAATTCTTGATTTAGATGTAGTGGTAGTTTGAGAATTCAAACGCGAATCTTGAAATCCAGGCGGGAGAAATTCTCGGCCAGAGGTAAGATAGGCAGGTGTAAAGCCGGTTGAAGAGTGCTTAGCGGTGTTGTACGCGAATTGAAGTTCCGATAGATGGCGGTCCCAGTCCGGTTTCTTACTATCCAAGTATTGACGAATCATTGTCTTGACTACTTTGTTGACTCGTTCTACTGGATTGCACTGCGGTGAATAAGGTGGTGTAAGACGATGTAAAATACCGAAATCTTCCAAGAATGCTTTAAATTCTTTACTAATAAATTGTCTACCATTATCAGAGACAATTTTCTGAGGAAATCCAAAACGATAGAAAATTTCTTTTAGCGTTGAAATTACTAATACTGTTGTTGCTTTACGTAATGGTTTTAATTCAAGCCATTTAGTAAAACGATCTTGAACAACACATAAAATTGTGTTTCCAGAAGTTGTTCGAGGTAGTGGTCCAATGAAGTCAATTGAAATCATTTCCCATGGTTTCTCTACTAGTGTGGCATGCATACGGTTTGCAGCCGCTTGTTGAGAATTTTTGTTGTGCTGACAATTTTTACAATTCCTAACATACTCAGCACCATCACGTAACATACCAGGCCAGAAGAAAAATTCTCCAAGTCTTGCTAATGTTTTAGCAACACCAAGATGTCCAGCTGTTGTTTCATCGTGAACTTTATGTAGAATTTTCTTCCTGTCTTCTTTGGGTATACACAATTTCCATTGATCTTCATATGGGGTATCCTTGAAGTCCAAAGAATGAAGTACATGATGGTAAAGTTTCCCATTTTCAATCCTGAAGTCCGGACATCTATCAGGGTTGTCCGAAGTTGATTTAAAATGGCGCTGATACCATTGACAAGATGGTAATTTGTCAATTGATGAAACTTGTAGAGGAACTCGTGATAAATAATCAGGCAAACGATTTTCAATTCCTTTCTTGTAAATAACCTCGAAATCCCACTGAGCCAGTTCCATGATCCAACGTGCAAGTCTTCCAGATGGTGTGACGATACTATTCAGCCATTTCAAGGCCTGATGATCCGTGACAACTATAAAATGATAACCTTCAAGATAGTGTCTCATCTTCCAAATGCCCCATTTAACTGCAAGGCATTTGATTTCTGTTGCTGAATAGTTCTTCTCGGCTGAATTTAACGTACGACTGGCATAAGCAATCACGACTTCTGATGTTCCAATTTTTTGTGTCAAAACTGCTCCAAGACCTTCAAGACTAGCATCCGTTTGAAGATAAAAAACTTGAGACCAGTCAGGGCAAGCTAAGACTGGAGCTTCAGTAAGTTTTTTCTTAATATTGTCGAAAGCTAATTGATGTTCTTCTTTCCAGGTCCATGATGTATCCTTTTTAAGAAGATGAATAAGCGGAGAAATCAATGCTGAGATGTTTTTTATGAAACGGCGATACCAAGAAACCATACCTAAAAATCTTCTCAATTCTTTTAGGTTCGTAGGAGGGGGTAATTTTAAAATGGCATCCACGTTGTCTGGGTCTGGATGTAGTCCATCTGCATCCACTAGATGTCCAAGATAGGTAAGACGAGTACGGGCAAAGAAACATTTTTCCTAATTTGGAACTAGTTTAGCTTCACGTAGTCTAGAAAACACTTCTTGCAGTAGTTTGAGATGTTCTTCGAATGTTGACGAGGTTACAACGATGTCATCGAGGTAAGAAAAAACATTTGGTGCTAAATCCACAGGGATTACAAGATCGATTAATCGTTGAAACGTTGCAGGTGCTGAATGTAGTCCAAAAGGCATGACTACAAATTCGAAAAGTCCTAAACCTGGTACTGTGAAAGCAGTAAGTGGTGCGCTTTCTTCTGTTAACCCAACTTGCCAATAACCATTTTTTAAATCCAAGGTAGATAGATATTTAGCTCCTTTCAACTAATCCAGAATACTATTTATACGAGGCAAAGGATAAGCATCCTTTTTAGTCACTTTATTGAGCCTTCGAAAGTCAATGCAAAAACGAAGTTTACCGTTCTTTCTTTTAATTAAAACGACAGGTGAGCTCCAAGCACTACGAGATTTTCTAATGACTCTTTGTTTCAGCATCTCCAAAGCTTCTTGTCTCATGTGTTCTTGAGTTACCGGATTCCTGGGTTGATAACGCTGTTTAATTGGTGAAGAATCTTCCAGACGAATTTCATGCTTTAACAATGGTGTTTGACCTTTAATATCCTTAAATAAAAGTCTTTCTTTAGATAATAAAGCATTTAACTCCTGTTCTTGATCCTTGTCCAACGAAGTTAATCCTGCAGGTCCAACTTCACAAGCCTCAACTTTAAAAGAGTTTTTTAATAACCGTATATCTTGGTTATTAATTAACAAAGAAAAGTTGAATTTTTGTAACAGATCCATGCCAATCAACATTGGTTGAGATAATCCTGGTAAAACTAAAAATTTATGCTTCACCTTTGTTGATCCAACGACGATTTTCATGTCAAAACTAGTTTTAACCTTGTATTCGGTTCCATTAGCCAGAGCAACGATGATTTCTTCAAGATTAGCAACTCCTCCTAGAGCAACCAATCGATTAGCAGTATGGATGTCGATAAATGAACAAGCTGCTCCGGTATCCACAAGAGCTGGAATTGATAGATCCTCGCAAATACAATTTCAAAAGATTCTGGAGTCAACTGGTGATAAGGTCGAATTTACTCCACTTATTCGACCTTTTTGTCGTTTCCCGATTTCTTGAAACAACAATCTCGAGTAAATAATCCTTCTCGACCACACTGAGAACAAAATTTCTTAGGCCGATTCCTGCACACATTTCTACGATGTCCTGGTCGACCACAACGCCAACAATCGGTTTTAGGATTGTAGGGTCTAGAAACTTCAGCTAAAGGTTGATTAACATTCCCACTAGAATTCTCCTGATTGACTGAATGAAGAATCTCCGCAATTTCCTCCACACGCTGAATAAGAGTACTAACTGAATCCAATTCAGAACGACGAATATGTAGACGATAAACTGGTTTCATGTTCCAGTATAAAATATCTAATTCACGACCCAAATCATAACCTCCATGTCTTCTCATGAGAGTTCGTAGGGCAGTACAAAACTCTCGAATTGACTCCAAGTTACCTTGCACTTTACTACCAATTTGATTTTCCAGATGTCTGAATTCACTAGGTGAAAGGTAAAATCTCCTTAAAGCTGAGGTTAATTCATCGAGGGTGAAAATTGATCTAATCTCATTCCTATACCATAGCAATGCATCACCACTTAAAAGTTCAGGAAAGCCACGAAGAAGTTAATCATCCGTGAATCCATAAGCCTGCTGTAACTCGTCTACTCGTTCAATAAAAGCATATACATCTTTTCCGTCAAACTGGCAATTCCATTTTCTCATCCGTTCCAACACATAAGTGTCATTGGAAAAGATTAAAGGTGTTGACGTTCTAGGTGGTCCCTCGGCAAGCTTTTGACTTTTAATTAAAGCTTCCGTAGCTTTAATTTGGTCCTTGGTGAGAGGTGCTGATTGTTGATTACCTTGATGTTCCTCAATTTCAACCAAATTTTCCTTTAAACTTGGATCCTCTAGGGCTAGGTTATCCCGAGAGATATCGTCCTCCTCGTTGTAATCCTCTGGATCTTCAGTTTTATTCAATAGCTCTGGTCTTGTTTTGACGAAAGCCACAAAACGTTGTCGAAGCTCTGCTACGGTACCTCTTGCGTCGATGTGATAACTCTCCATTTGAGCCACCAAATCATTTTTGGAAAGGTTGTAGATCCACTGGACTCCCATGATGTTAGGTTAGGTTTTAAATAAACGTCTTTACTGAACAAAGGGAAGTAAAGAAATGTGAAGATAAAAGAGTTACTCTCCATTTATATACTAGTTGATTACTCCCTACTCTTCTCCAAAGATGGTGGTGGGAGAAGAAAACCAAGATGGCGGCTGGTTTAGTAGTGAGTGAAGAGAAAGAAAATAAGATGGTTAATTTCTTCTCTTAAGGCAGCAGTCTCTAGTCAAGCTACCTTTAATGCCACATTTAGCACAAAATAGAACAGGTGGATTTCGGCACTTCTGACGACGATGTCCGTGTTGTCCGCAACGCCAACAATCCGTATCAGGGTTATACGGGTGATTTCTATCCTTAGAAACCAAAACAGGACTTCCACGAATAATTGGGTAGCGGCTGAAGAAATAGGTTTCTTTATAATCGAGTTGTTTATCATAATCTAGGTTAACCAAGATGTCTTTCATTTGGTTAATCGATTCACCTAAAATCAT